ACAGAAAAATTAAGGATCCAGCATAACCCAAGCCACGCAGGATGAAGAGAAATCTGGACCAGACCAGAACCAAGAACTATTCTTGTAACTACTTAAGAGTTTTTACCAGGTCTGTAGTGAAAAGAAACTAAACAATAATATCACAAATGCTTCATATGTCACTTACAGTTTTAGTACTTAGCTGAGGATATGATTCCGTCCTCAGGGTATTAGTTGCTCAGTTGTATTCACCTCTTTGAGACCCCGGGGATGGTAGCCATGCCCGCTGAGTTGTGTCTGACTCTTTGTGACCCCATAGACGGTAGTCTGCCAGGCTCCTCTGTCCATGGAATTCTCCAGGAAAGAATACTGGAGTGGTTTGCTATTTCTTACTCCAGGGGATCTTCCCAACCCGGGGGTCGAACCCAGGTCTCCTGCATTGCAGGCAGATTCTTTACTGGCTCAGACGGTAAAGGATGCTATCCTCAAGATACTGAGATATTGGAATAATTTCTTTGAAACCTTGTAGACCTGGTGACTCAGCTGATAAAGAAATCAACCTGCCAATGCAGGAGACGCAAGAGTTGTGGGTTTGAAACCTGGGTTGGGAAGATCCCTTGGAGAAGGAAATGACAACTTGCTCCAGTATTCCTGCCTGGAGAATCCCATGGACAGAGGACCCTGGCAGGCTACCGTCCATGGGGTCACAAAAAGTCAGACACAACTGAGCAGGCATGCACAGCCCAAATGGACCTAGGGAAAATAAGATACAGGGCTCCTCCTGCATTACCTTATTACTAATTTAAGACTTGGTCAATTTGTTGTGCATAAGGACATTCTCATCCTAAGCATTAAATATTTACTATATGGAAATCCCTTGGGATGAGAGGTTTCTGAGAGGAATTTAAGGAAGAAGATAATTTGAAAAATGACTGGACCATAAGCTTCTAAAGGCAGGAACTCTAATGTTCTGTTTGCCATTAATGTACATTGTCTGAACTTTAGACACCCAAACAGATGTTGAATGAATGAATGGATGATCGTTTACACTGTACAGTTATATTTGGAATGTCTGTGTGTGCACTCACTTGTATCCTACTCTTTGTGAACCTATGGACTGTAGCCCACCAGGACCATAATCATAATTCTAATTTAAATCAATATAAATTTGCATTATTAAGTAATTTGAAGACAGGATTTTAAATAATTGAGATATAAGATTTACTATAAGTGAGACAGAAGAACAAGGCTCACTCACAAGAACTGAGAAATCTTTCTCCTCAGCCTCCTAAATGTTATCCTAATTAGCTGAAAGGCATTTAGAGTGATTTTTTTTTTTAAGCACAGGAGGATATTGCAGAGAGATGGAGATTATGGTAAGTGGAAGGCTTATAACTTTCAAGAAACTCATATTATATATATATATATATATATATATATACATGTATCTCCAAGGGATCTTCCCAACCCAGGTTTCAAACCCAAGCTGTATGTTTTATATATATGTGTGTGTGTGTGTGTGTATATAAAATACAGGAGCCTGGCAGGCTACAGTCCATGGGGTCACAAAGAGTCAGACACAACTAAGCGACTGAACACACTTGCAATATGTGTGTGTGTGTGTGTGTGTGTGTGTGTATAAAACATAAATCTTGGTCAATGGTTGTTTATAAATTAAAACTTTGAAAAATGAGATATATCAAACATTCTTTCTGAGAAAGAAAAACACACAAAACTTTTTAATTGTCAACAGTCATTGGAAATGTTCCCAATCATGCAGTGCTAAAAGTGGGCAATTAGACAATGTTTGTATGTGTTGTGATTAAGAATGCAAAGCCAAGCTACAATTTTAAAAATTGACTCCATCACTTTCTAAGTAGGGGGGGACAAGCATGTATTTAATGGCATTAGGATGAGCTAGGTTACCGTCCATTAACAGCCCCCCTAAAACACAGTGACTTACACAACAAATTTTACTTCTTACTCATACAAAGCTTACTATAGGTTCTCACAGCCCTCCAGGGCAGCTATGATCCTTCAGTTGGCCTAACATTCCAGACTGCTTGAATCTGATACATTCTTCATGTTGGCAAGGGCCTCCATGTCATCATAACAGGGAGAGAGAAAGCATCGAGAACCCAAGCATCAGTTCAGTATTGATTACTGTGAAGTAGGCAGAAAAGAAAATGAAGACAAAGTTAACTTGAACTATTTAAAAACCATATCATCGAAATTCAGAACTTGAAAGGGCCTAAAAATGATCCAGTCAGGCCCTACATTTTACAGACACAGAAACAGACACCAGAGAAAATATAAGAACGTTTCCCCAAGGTTATACAACCAGCAATAGCACAGTCTGGGATGAAATCCAGATTTCTCTCCTAGCTCCCTACTGGCTGAAAATTCCACCACTAATCTTTGGAAATGTAGTAACACTCTTGCCCCTCTGTTATATGGTAGTGACCAGGGCACCATGATGCTTGAGTATTCTATCCCTTTTCCAAAATTACGTTGAATAGAAAACCCAGAAATTATGGTAATGATAGGGGGAATGTCTGCAGGCCTCAAATGTTATTGTGACAGTTATTATTTATTCCTACTCGTAGCATTTTACCAATGTGATACATATTATCCAGCCCAGCTACAAAGCCAAGGTTAAACACCGAGAACCTCCACTACTCGGCAAGGTCCACTGCTATCAGTGGGAAGAGTCAGAGTGCTGAGCTAGCTGTCACAGGTGGCTTTTGTTTCCATTTGCTGAATGAAAGAGAAATTGAACAGTATGTCAAGATTAGCGAAGGGTCTACTGTGTCTATTGAAGGGTATGGCTGGCAATGACTAATACAGTCACTTTTCAACTATTTAAAAACCATATCATCGAAATTCAGAACTTGAAAGGGCCTAAAAATGATCCAGTCAGGCCCTACATTTTACAGACACAGAAACAGACACCAGAGAAAATATAAGAACGTTTCCCCAAGGTTATACAACCAGCAATAGCACAGTCTGGGATGAAATCCAGATTTCTCTCCTAGCTCCCTACTGGCTGAAAATTCCACCACTAATCTTTGGAAATGTAGTAACACTCTTGCCCCTCTGTTATATGGTAGTGACCAGGGCACCATGATGCTTGAGTATTCTATCCCTTTTCCAAAATTACGTTGAATAGAAAACCCAGAAATTATGGTAATGATAGGGGGAATGTCTGCAGGCCTCAAATGTTACTGTGACAGTTATTATTTATTCCTACTCGTAGCATTTTACCAGTGTGATACATATTATCCAGCCCAGCTACAAAGCCAAGGTTAAACACCGAGAACCTCCACTACTCGGCAAGGTCCACTGCTATCAGTGGGAAGAGTCAGAGTGCTGAGCTAGCTGTCACAGGTGGCTTTTGTTTCCATTTGCTGAATGAAAGAGAAATTGAACAGTATGTCAAGATTAGCGAAGGGTCTACTGTGTCTATTGAAGGGTATGGCTGGCAATGACTAATACAGTCACTTTTCTCTTGCACAAAGTCAGGGTCAAAATGTATCTTTATCTTATCTTTAATATGAAAGGAATGATCAGAGTTCTATTACCACACCCAGGTACTTAGATCATTACCATATGAACCTCGTCCTCTCCCTTTTCCTGCTTTGCTTCAGACTCCAGCTCTGAGTGTGAAAAGGCAGCCTTCATGTCACGGGCTGAGCTGTGAAGGAATACTACCCTAGAGCATCCTGCGAAATACTGAACCAGAGCTATTGCTGTTACTTCTTTCTTAAGCCCCCCACATCTTTCAAAACTGATGATTCTTAAAATGAGTTCAGAAATTCAATTATTGTACAAAACACCCCAAATACTCTGGTTAAAAATGTTTTTGTGAGGCAACCTCCCTTTTATGCCCTATATACTCTTATCTAACTTTAACAACTAGAAATTGTTATTTATTCAAATAGCAGCTTGCTTACTTTATGACATTGGCATAGAATAGTTACATGCCTAAAGTTAGAATGGCTCCACCCGAAGAGTCTCCAAAATCTTGTTTAGTGTAGTGAGGACAATAATGACATCCTTATTATTAAGTACAATAGATATTTTTAAAACAAAGCTGGTACCTCCTATTTTCTTTAGCATTGATGATATTCTTCCTCCAGTGGATTATAGATCAGAGAGAGGTCTAGATAAGAATAAAAGCAGCCCCTTAGCAGAGTAGCTTGGACTAATGAAATGAAAACAAGATGCTGTTTTTCATTCACATCAAGCCTGAGCAAGTATTTGGGTTAGTTTTATATGTCAAAGCCAAAAGGCTAGGCTTAGCAAAGACTGTCTCTTGCTTCAAATAAGGCAGGCTGAGGAGATGCACATCATTTCGCTCACACACAGAACTCCCCTCCCTTTTGTTCCTGCTCCTCTCCTGCTTTCGAGCTGACTGACTCCTCCTTCCTGCAGCTCTGAGGATCGCAGGCTGATTGAAGAACACGGCGGTTCCGATGGAGAGCCGTGCTCAGTGACCCTCTGTCTCTCTCTCATTTTCTCTCTGTCTCCCAGTCTCTGAACCGGCCAAGCTGAAAACTACCCGATAATCTCTCTGCCTTTGAATCCAGCTCTGGAGCCAAATGCATCATTTTACTGCTCTTAAAAAGTGAATAGAGTTTGATTATCTCAAGTCCAAGCTGCTTTGCTCCACAAGAAGGACCCAGAAGGACCCAGACATCATTGTTTTCCAGTCTACTTGAGGAGCTTTTGCTTTCATGCCTGAAACTTGCTGGTTTCAGGAGGGAGTTTTTGGCTTTTTTTTTTAACTGAAATGTTGAAAAGTTTCTTATTGCTGCTTTAGGTGGAACCCATTTTTCAAATATGAGTTGAGTCAGGTCTAACGGAGACTTGTCTGACCGTTTTCTGCAGGAGTGACCGTGGAACATCTTGAGGGAAACTTGGTAGGAGAAAATGAGATTTGATTTGCAACTAACAGCCATGCCTACTAATCGTGAGACTATTTACAGACCTATTGAAAAAGAAATTGAATATTGACCAAGGATAATGTCTGTGTTTCTCAGTAACTTATCCACAAATGACTCTAACCTGTGGAAAGGAAACCGTAATTCGACAGACCCTTTAAATCCGCCAGGAGCCGTGAATATCTATCTTTTTTGTCTGACATGCCTAATGACTGTGGCAGCCCTGGCAGGCAGCATTTATTCACTAGTTTCTCTGCTGAAAATGCGGAACAGAACTGTTGTGTCCATGCTTGTGGCTTCCTGGTCTGGGGATGATCTCATGAGCGTCTTGTCGGTGACCATCTTCATGTTTTTGCAGTGGCCAAATGGGGTCTCTGACTACTTCCAGTCTCTGTGCACCGTCTCCGCCTTACTTTATTTATGCCAGGGCCTCTCGAGCAACTTGAAGGCGACTCTCTTGGTCTCCTACAACTTTTACACGATGCACAAGGCTGTGGGGCGCCAGGCAACCTCCAGAAGAGCCGGCCCGGTGCTCGGCGTGGCGCTGACCGTGTGGGCCGCCAGCCTGCTGCTCTCGGCGCTCCCCCTGTGCGGCTGGGGCGCCTTCGTGCGCACGCCTTGGGGCTGCCTGGCCGACTGCTCCAGCTCCTACGTGCTGCTCCTCTTCGCCGTGTACACGTCGGCTTTCGGACTGCTAGCCGGCCTCTCGGTCCCGCTCACTCACCAGTTGCTGTGTTCCGAGCAGCCGCCGAGACTTCACGCCAACTACCAGGAAATTTCCCGCGGCGCGTCCACTCCAGGGACCCCTGCAACTGGGGGGAGAGTGCTTTCCCTGTCCACAGATGATGCTCAAGGTCCGGCCCCGCGGTGCTCTGGAGGATGCTCCCCGATCTCGGACACCGTGTTTGGACCGGGTCCACCCGCGAGGAGCGCAGGGCCAGGGCAGGAGCCGGGGCACGGTGCTGCCGCTGTGGCTGGAGACTGCAGGCGCGAGAACCGGGGGACTCTCTTTGGCACCAGGAGCTTCACCGTGAGCGTAGCGCAGAAGCGCTTTTCTTTGATCTTAGCGCTGACAAAAGTCACCCTTTGGCTGCCCATGATGGTAAAAGCGCGATTGCTCACGGGGTGCGGATGTGTGTGCCAGACAGTGTGAGTGCGTGTTGAGACCAGCGCCCCTGGTTTGGAGGGTCACCCAGAGATGTGCAGTTTAGTCCGCTTACAAAGGTATCTCGGCTGGTTTTAAGGAAGCACTTGGAGGAAAGCAGTTCACGGGTAGGACTAGCAACCGCGAAGCCTTTGTTAAGTGTTTCTTGGCTCCCCCCTGAAAGCGGGGACCGCTCTCAGGCGCGGCAGACTTAGTTTTCCCAGGTCTGTCATGGTCAAGGGTGTTCTCTCTCCGAGCAATGTCTGGGAGTATTCAGAAAAGGAGGGAGGCAGTGAAGGAAAACAGTGTATGCCTCTATTATTCCCCCAGTCTTCTGTCCTGCCCTTATCTTTGCCCCAATCCTCCCTAGATAAGTCGCAGCCCATCCCCATCAGGAAGAGAGGAGAGGCATAACCCCTAGTAGAGAGAGCAGAGAGCAGATAAAACAGGCTTTTGTTCACACCTCCAAGAGACAGCCAGAGGAGAGAGGTGGCAGGTGGTGCCCTGGTGTGACGGGCATGGCCTGGCAGGGGTGAGCGGCTAGGGATATGACAAAGGACATCTGGAGTACCAGGTCCAGGGTTCATAGATGCTTGCCTGTTTTCTGGAATAGCGTTTTTTCATGTTGTGAACTGTGCTTTCCTGGTGGAAACTTGAGCTGGCAGCCAGCACAGACCAGGCGCTCAAGAGTGGAAACCCTCAAAAGCCTGTGCGGTCTGGGGCAGCTGGCCTCTTCCCAAAGGATCCTGGTAGCCCAAAACCAATGATGCCAGCTCAGGAGCAGAGCTTCTAGCTCTCAGATAGCAAAGGGGCCTGGAGAAGGGAGCTGAGGCAGCATGCTTGGGGGAAAAGGCTTGGCAAAGTGGAAAATGTTTTCCTGGGATAGGTCTGAAGCTCTCTGCTTTTACAGATCCACATGGCGGTCCAGCACATCTTGGGGTTTCAGAGCCTTCCCTTTGAGATGCTCAGCTTTATGCTAACCCTCCTGGCCGCCACTGTAACTCCAGTGTTTGTTTTGTCCAAACATTGGACACACTTGCCCTGTGGCTGCATCATCAACTGCAAGCAGAACACATATGCAGTGACATCGGATGGGAAAAAACGTAAGTCCTGGGTAGTGTGGAGGTTGAGAACAATATGCAGAGGGTCAAATACAGAAAGGTGGTCTATTGAGAAAGTTGCCTTAGTAGGTGATGAAGAGTCCAAGGACAAGTGAAATGGTACATAAAAGGAAGAAATGTTAAACAATTATCGGCACAGTGTTGGAGCAAATGTTAAATGAGGCAGGTTTAAAACAACTCTGTGAACTACATGTACATTGAATGATTATTTTAGGTGTTTAAAAAAAAAGAGAATTCACTCAACCCAGCATGAAATCAACAAAGGACTTTAGATGTTATATCCACCAGAACTCTAAGCTCTGAGTAGAAAATAAATCCTCCTCCCAAGTCTACCTAGGAGAAGCCTGCATCTTTGAAAAGTTAAAATTCATTATGTTAAAGTTTATCATTATTGAGTGGAACAGTAAAGAAAAGCATTTCCATTCTTTTGCAGATTGTATTCTTTCAGGGTGTTTGAAAGTTTTCAGAGTAAGCAATAGGAGCACCTAAAAACATGTCCAAAACAAATTTTAAGTGTATGCTTCTGCTTTTAAAAAACATTCACATATATACACAAATGACAACGCCCCCCATACCTATAATTTCAAGAAAGGACAAAGGTTGGCAGAGTTGTCAATATGTTTACGTATAAATCTCATCATTAGTTACTTTAAAAAAAACATCTGTTTTAAAAACTACATCTCTAACAGGAATGGAGTCATTTATAAAGCTCACTAGAGTGTAATTGCTCCTATACCAAGACAGGAAAAGTTGAGGAATGATCTGTATGTTTTTACTCTGTCAGTAAGGAAAAGGATGTCTTTTTTGTCATTCCAGAAAAAAGATAGGATGTTCTACCATTTAATAAATCTAATACACTAATAAATGCATTAGTGTATGCTGAATTAACTCTTCCATTAATTGTCCTTAGCTCAGAATAAGCAAGTATATTTTTGCTTAACAGAGAAGAAAGAGTGAATGAAAACAGTCCATCTCAGACTACATTAGGGCTATAAAAACTGGGGACTGTTAAAGAATACTCTGCAATCAGTTCTTCAACAGGGTTATTTTATAACATTCAATAGTCATGAACTGCTCATTTTCCATGTGTTTATGACATTTAATGTCTAGATAATTTTCAAATGACCTGAAGATTTTTTTAGTGTTAAGGATGCCATAAAGTTTTATTGTCAATAGATGCCAAATTCATCTATGCCCTTAAAATACAGTAACCACAGAACTTGTAATAAGTATGTGCTTCTGGAGATTAATATCCAGAGCAACAGTGACACAGAAAATTAATAATAAATCTTTTTGATAGAAAACACAGAAGAACATAGAACATATAAAAATTACTTACAGACCTGAAAGTTCTACCATTCTATCAAACATTAATATTTTGTTACTAAATTAATGAACCAATCCCACCTTATATATTTAAAATTGTGAGAGAGACAAGAAGAATTTAGAGCAGTCTTTTTAAGAACTAAGGGGCTTCCCTGGTGGCTCAGAGGTTAAAAAGCCTCTGCCTGCAATGCGGGAGACCCGGGTTTGATCCCTGGGTCGGGAAGCTCCCCTGGAGAAGGGAATGGCAACCCACTCCAGTATTCTTGCCTGGAGAATCCCATGGACAGAGGAGCCTGGCGGGCTGCAGTCCATGGGGTTGCAAAGAGTCGGACACGACTGAGCGACTTCACTTTCACTTTCTTTTAAGAACTGAAGGACACCTCTCTCAATGCCAAAAACAAAGCGCACAACATATCTATCTCTATAAAACATCTGGGAAGCAGTCTCTCTGGCACTGCACAAGAAAGAAGAACCGACAGCAGGCCAGTAGAATCAATAGTCAAGTTAATATCTCATGTTTGAGATTAGAACCACACCTTTCAAGATCAAAATAATATTTTTCCTCAAAAATGCCCATTGCCTTTATTTGTATGGGGCAATACAGGGAAAGATGTAAAAATTCTGAGAAGACGTTGAAATGTAAGCCTAGAGAACCATGGTTTCAAAAATAAAACGTGAGAAACATTCGTTTAAAAATGGCTTCATTCTTTTTTGATCCCAGGCTCTGCCACAGGGAAATTATAAGAATAAGAATGGTGTATTTTCACTGTCTGACCCACCGTAAATTTTTCTATTGCTAGGATGACACACAATTTTGAAACTCCAAAGATGGCTCATCCTCAGGTGGGCAGGAGCTTGATCAGTTACTTGATATAGTACTTGGATTCTATATAGTTATAGTACTTTGATGGCTCCAGTTTCGCACTTAAGCTTTTTCTCCTTAACAAATTAATGTCCCCCCCCTTTAACTTTTGTTGTTGTTTTGTTTTTTTGCTGAAAACTCCAGGATCAAGAAAAGGAACATATTTTTTCCTAACTCATATTTACCGTAAATATGATATAAACATGATTCTACATCTCAGCTTCACTGTATGGAAACTGAGAGACATGCAACCAGAAAATGAAGTTTCCAGGGATAATAGTTCTCTCCTGTTTTCAACAATAATCTAATTGTTGTATTACTAATGTCTCAAGACAAAGGTGGTTTTAAAACTAGATGGTTTTAAAACAGAGATCTCAGGTGGCAGACATATGGATTGGATGTGGCTTTCACACCCATTTTGCTTTAACATTAAACAGTTCAAGTAAAATATTTTCTGAGTATAAAAATCAGATTTTCAGCTTCCTTTTTTTTTGATGAAGTCAAAGTATCTGGTGACATATTATGTCTAAAATTGTCGTTAGCAAGATGTGATTAAAATCAGAAGACTAGAGCTATTTCTCGTCCTAAATAGGGCTTTGCTTTTCAGAACAAATGAGCGTGTGTGCTCAGTTGTGTCCAATTCTTTGTGACCCCATGGACTATAAGCCCACCAGGCTCCTCTGTCTGTAGAATTTTCCAAGCAAGAAGTAGGAGTAGGTTGCCATTTCCTCCCCCAGGGGATCTTCCCCACCCAGGGATTGAACTCATTCTCTGCACTGGCAGGCAGATTCTTTACCATTGTGCCACCTGGGAAGCCCCAGAACAAATGTAACAGTGTACTTATTTCTCATAAGTGTAGTGTTGATTTCCAAAAGATCCTGACTCTATCCTGATGGTCGTTAAGCTTCTTGTAAGTTACTAGTCAGTTATTGTCTACCCTGTTATATTGTTATAGCCTATTACCTTCATTAGTTACTCAGAATTTACCTCTAGTGTTAAGGAAAAGTAGCTAACAAGAAATATTTCTATTGGTTATATCTTATAATTAACATACTTCCCTTAACTTCAGTTCAGTTCAGTTCAGTTGCTCAGTTGTGTCCGACTCGTTGCGACCCCATGAATCGCAGCACGCCAGGCCTCCTTGTCCATCACCAACTCCCGGAGCTTACTCAAACTCATGTCCATCGAGTCCCTTAACTTAAAGATAGCATATTGGGGACATTCTGCTTTTATTAACATATTTCTCTCAAGGGTCTGATTAGCAGTACAGCAATTGCCCATAGAGGCTAATAACTCCAATTCTGGAGTCAGCTTTAAATTCAAATCTCTTTAAGTAAGTAATCTTAGGTTTCCTTTATCAGCCTCAGTTTTCTCAAACGCAAAATAGAACCCATTTGCCTATTATTATGTAGGGTTGTTGTTTTGTTAAATGACATGACCCTTGTGCCTAAGTGGCCCTAGGATGCTCTAGTTCCTCATCTTTCATGATTGGACTTCGTTCTTGAAGCCTACCTCAGACTGCCTCTTGCACCTCATAACATGGAGGTGGATTGTCCATTGAACTCGTTCTTTAAAAATCCTGCTATTTTTGCTTTATATACTTCATAGTGGTGATGTGTAGCTAATAAGATATCAATTTATATGATAAAATTGGGGTTTTATGACAGTTTTTGTTTGCTTAATATCCTTGAATTGACCACTTGTCACTTTGTATCTTATTTTAGAGAAAAAGAAAACCTATCAATAATTGAAACATCCCTTTATTCAGCTTTCACACTATTAAAACAAAGAATTCTAATTTAATTTTACTGAACTGTATTATCAGAAAAACTTAAGTAGCATTATAAGTGAGACAGTGAATAGTGTTAACATCTGTTTCTACTTTTCCATTTTCTTTGAATAGAAATTTTTGTTTGTGTCCTGGCTCAAACAAAGAGTGTTTTTGGCTCAAATAATGAATGATAACTATAAATTCTATCTTTCAGTCCGTGGAATTGGTTTGTAAATCTTCAGTTCTGAGACAATTTCAGTAATAGAATCAGCATATGAATGACACAAGGATGTACTATGAAATAAATCAAACTTTACCTGTTGTTTTCATAGAAAGTTTATAGTTTGTAATAAACTTCTCCCCAAAGGATCTCTCAATGTGTGCTAAGTGTGTGCTATAAAACACAGAGCTATCCAAGTAGAAAAAAGTTTTGAAATGAGCCATGTTTGGAAGATGAAAATCAAAATATTACATTGTATTTTGTCTACCATCTTGATATAGCTTCATTCTTAATACTCAAAAATTATCTAGTATTTAATGACATTCACATGAAACAATTATATCACTTCTGTCACATTCTCTCTTGTTATTTTACTAAAACTTTATACTGTATTCACCAAATAGTAGTAGTGTATATAAGATATCATCATATTTCATCTGACTTAAACCATAAAAAGTTTTATACATTCCTGCTAAACTCATCTTGTAATTAATAAGATATAGACCTGTTGTAAAATGCTTCATTTCACAGAAATATAAATATATGCACATTTTTACAATTCATTTCAAATTATTCATGGTATTTTTAAATGTTTAAAAACTATTTCAGCATTATCTAATTTTTTAATGTATTCATTTATAAACATAAATGTCAGGAATGATATACATCAAAATATTGAAAGCAGTTATATCTGTTGTTGGTATTGCCAGCTGAATAGCTCAAAGAATATGAAAAGTTTCCCTTTTGAGTTTTTTTTAAGGATAAATTGCTTTTGTTGTGTTTATTTATTTATTTGGCTGTGATCTGTTATAGTTGTGGCATGCGGGAACCTTGTATCATGCAGATCTTTCATTGGACACACAGACTTTCTCTAGTTGTGGCAGTGTGGACAATCTACTTGTGGCGTGCAGGTTTAGTTACCCTGATGCATGTGGGGTCTTAGTTCCCAGACCCGGGATAGAACTCACATTTCCTGCACTGAAAGACAGGTTCTTAACCACTGGATCACCAAGAAGTCTCTATTAAGAGCTTCTTAATTAATACCTAGTAAAATTTATAAACAATGTATTTTATCCTAAGATAAAGAAGTGCACATATAGCTAAACCTAAAACTGAAAATATATGAGACTTCTAAAATTTGTAGTTAAAATTTTAAATAAAACTTGTTTAAAGACTGAAGGGTTCTGGAGCTGTATGTATGTCAAGCCTTTCATTATGTAAGTGACAACAATTAGGCCCAGAATGATACGATGGCTTGAATTTGAGAGGCACTATTGCTTTGCATAATTGACAAGATCATTTTAAGATTTCATACTAATCAGGTTTAACTCACCTTCTTATTTTTGTTCCCTTTGTATATTCAACTGCTGTTTACATCTACCTTCGTAATCATGGGATTTTGTTTTTGTTTTTACATAGCCAAGAGGAGATGCTTTGAATTCAATCTATCATTTCAGCAAAGTTATGGAATTTATAAAATAGCACATGAAGATTACTATGATGATGATGAAAATTCTACAGCCTGTCACAATCTCATGAACTATGAGTGCACAGCTACAAAAGACTCTCCAAAAAGAGACACTCGTATCTTCAGTGCCATCAAAGTGGAAATCAGCACCACATCCTCTCTGGACAGCTCCACACTAACAGGCGTCAACAAATGCACAAACACTGACATTGCAGAAGCTGAACAGGAGTCCCACGGGGCAAGAGGTGTTGATCCGCTGCTCTCTGAAAAAGCAGAAGGTGATATTAAACATGGTGAAACCACCTCTTTGGAAGGGCCAGAAAGAAGACTATCTCATGAAGAGAGTCAGAAACCAGACCTTTCAGACTGGGAATGGTGTAGGAGTAAATCAGAAAGAACCCCCCGTCAGGTACAGTAAAGATTGCTATTATTGAAAAGTAAAAATGAGACCAAGCATGACAGCATGCACAAAAATTATCAGTTGTTTATTTCATTCAAGATTGGATTCACTTGCCTCAATTAATTTCCATAATATTAGATTTATTTCAACGTGTCTTTTGAAGGACTTCTAAATGTTTTTCATTAGTTCTATATTTTCATTCAAGTTCTATATATTTGAGGAGTGGCAGAGTTAAATATGCTTTCTGAGAAGGGCAAAGCATTCTATTCTAACGGCATGTAGTCCATATAAATTCAGACTAGACCCTTGAAACTTATCTCAAGTTAATTAAATTACAAGTTTTGTTTTTCTTCACCTGAAAACTTTACACAAGTCCCTGAAAGAGGTTTGGGGGCAAATGTTTTAACAACTAGTGATGAAGAAATTGTCCTGTTTCAACTGTACTAGATAGTTTACATATTAACTTTGCTGAAATTAGTCCCTCTAATACTCAGCAAGGAAAAAAAAAAGATCTATTTCAGAATACACCCAAGTGAACCTTTACAAAAACCCTGCTTTATGTTCCATCTTTTTAAGGATTGAAGAATATTTATATAATGTTTTTTAATGAAAGAATTTGTACCTTAAGCTCATCTCATTCTTTCCTAGATTTCAGCCTGCCTAGAATGGTGAGGAGTACTTATTTTATTAAAATCATAGTGTGACATTGATATAAGATTGTTCTTTCCTCTAAATGCTCATATCTGATCATTAAAGTTGCCCTTGCTTTCCACACAATTGATTTACTAGGGAAAGATACCTTTTTCTGCCTGACAGTGTAAATCAAAATCCACTTGTCCATAGTCTCTGAAATTAAAAATATAATTCTTCAAATATCCACTAGTAATAATGCAATCATTGATCAAAAACATGACCACAAAGCACGAGTTAGGAATATGAACAGAATAATCTGAGATTTCCTTTATTCTTCTTAATCAATTAAAACTACCAGTTTTACTTTGATATCATCAGTTTTAAAAGTTGGATAATAGAACAAAGCATACAAAACATATGATTAAAAATAATTACACATAGTTTTCAATGATTGAATATCTTCAAAAAATCACTAATATTTACTGTAAATTAAAAAATATCATGAAAAGTATATTACTAATAGGACACATTGTTCTGTCCGTGTGGATGCACTGACAGAACACACACATTTTTAAAACAATGCAGTATCCCAGCTAAAAGGGGACTCCCTACAATATTATCCTCAGTTTGCTCCTAAATAGTCTAAACCTCCTGGTTCTCTAGCACTTAAAAACTGAGTGGCATTCATGATGAAGTGAGTGTGAGTGTGCCGGTGGGCACCCACGTTCGCCCCAGTGACTTGGGGCTACTATGCCCTATGCCACTCCCCTGTTCCGCCCTCATGCTTACCCCTTATCAGTTACAGCTATCTTGACCCTTGCTCACGCTTTCTGGTTTTACTATCTAATCACCTATGGACTTTCAGGTTAACATTATAACCAAAATGTGTTTTAGGGTTGAAAAGCTTTTCCTCTGACCAAAGATTGGTTTTAACTCTTAACCTATTCTTCACCAGCACATATTTCATGGGAAAAGGTAATGACTTAGAAAGCACTTTCCTTTCATTCTCTCCTTCCAAGTTCTTTCTTTGCTCTGAAATCAACTTAACTTATATATCTTATAAATACATTAAACTTTAGTAGATACTGTAGTAATTATGAAAACACTATCTTTTTATCTTCTATGGTTGTATTTACAAATATTTAGGCTCAATTTATCAGTTCATTGAATTGTCCATGTTCTTTGTTTTGGGGCTATAAAAAACACAGGTTTGATTTAAAATGTATTTAACTATCCCTACCATATTTTTGGGCTTCCCTGGTGGCTCAGAGGTTAAAGCATCTGCCTGTAATGTGGGAGACCTGGGTTCGATCCCTGGGTTGGGAAGATCCCCTGGAGAAGGAAATGGCAACCCACTCCAGTATTATTGCCTGGAGAATCCCATGGACGGAGGATCCTGGTGGGTCCAAGGGGTGGGAAAGAGTCAGACACAACTGAGCGACTTCACTTTCACTTTCACCATATTTTTACAATGTGCTCAGTCATTCAGTTGTGGCTGACTCTTTGCAATCCAGTGGACTGTTGCCCACAAGGCTCCTCTGCCCATGGGCTTCTCCAGGCAAGAATACTGGAATGGGTTGCCATTTCCTACTCCAGGGGGTCTTCTCGACCCAGGGATCAAACCCATGTCTCCTGCATCTCTGCACTGGCAGGCAAATTCTTTACCACTCCACCACCTGGGAAGCCCTTTTCTTTTTTTTTAGAATACAATAAACGTTGCTTTTTTTTTTTTTTAGCGTTTATTCAAGTAAACAAATTCTCAGTATATCGTGTTGGAAATTCTGGTAGGCGTGAGAGTGTCAGATAAGGGGTAAGTTATAAAGAAAAGGGTAGTAGAATGACTTGAGTAGGTTTAAATGCTGTCTGACAAAATGTATCAGAGGTGAGAGTGTTTATAAGACTAAAACTCAGTGTTATACTTAGCCACACAATTGCTTGTTTTTGGACCCCTAGTAGGTTGAATCCTAAGCAGTTCATTGTTTTAAAGTTCAGGAAAAAAATGGAAATGTCAGAGGTCTTCGGTTACAAAGTTTTAATGCAGTTGCCATGGTGTGACTGTCCCTCAAATGAAATAATGATTTTCTAGAACCACAAAGTTTTGTCATCTCTGAATAAAGAAAATTGTACTTATAAAATAACTTGGTAACTTATTGGAGATCACTTTTTCTCTTTTAATACTAATCTCATCAGGTTATCCTTGGATTTCATTTTCTTTTCTTTTAACTTGTCTTAGAGCCCTAGAAATTCATTTATTACTATGAATTAGCAACAAAGATATGCTGTTATCATGCACTTAGTCCCACTTATAATTCTATATCATCATAGCATATAAAAGATGAAAGGTCCTCTACTATACCAGTAGAATATAGAAAAATAGATTCTGAAACAATCCTCAAATGAGAGTCAAGTGCTGGAAATGACTGGTTTTTGAATTAGCCATACAAACCATTTGGAATAATGAAGAATAAATCAGCAAGAACTAACTTAAAGTCACGGGGAAATCAAAGAAATTTTAATTTTAAGGAAAATGTTTAAACTACCTAAAAAAATAGTTTTACAAACCAAAGTTAAGTACTTCTTTCTAATATTTAAGTACAGCTTTAACATCTAATCACCAAGAGATGGATTTTAGTTTAAAGAATGGGGCAAAGTCATTCATATCAGTGTATGCCAAGAGCTATCACAATGTTGTAAAGTAATTAGCCTCCAGTTAGAATAAATTAATTAATTTTTTAAAAGTAAAAAGAGAATGTGGGGATAAGACATTTGAGTGACTGTAACATCAAAACTCTAATAAAGAAATATACTTAAAAAAAAAGAATGGGGCAAAATCAATCCTTTTCACTTAATATATGCCCCCAAAGTGAAATAAGACTTGAATACCCCAGTATACATATCTCTTTCCTCTCCCTAAAAAAGTGCATCTTCTCTTTTCATTTTAAAAACTAAACTATTAAAAATTTAAATCAAGCATAAGATGTTAGTGTTTCCTCTGACACTGTCACCTTGATAATTGCAAATGCTTAAACTTGCTCTCTGAGTAATTTTTGACATTTTAAACTGAAGTGACATAAGGTGAAAACTCACATATCACCTCCTATTTGTAGCCTCAAGGCAAAGATGTAGCCTCATCTTAACACAAAATGAGTGTTTGGAATATAGATTCTTTATATTTAGCTACATCTGTTAGTTTGGAGTGGTTAATTCCATTCACTGGTCAGAGATCTGAAAATTGTTACACTGCTTTCTTTTTTCAAAACATTTATAATCTTTTTTGTTTTATGATTACAAGGTAATATAATTATTGTAGAAAAAGTTTAGAGATTGCTGCTAAGTGAAGAAAAACACCCACTTTTAACCACCCAGAGTTAATCACTATTTACATTTTATCATATAAAGCTTTAGGATCTTTCCTAAGCGTATATTTTCACTTTTGACAGAAATGGGATTGTAGTGTACTGTTTTGAAATCTGCTTTTTTCTACTTAAGAGTATAATATTCACCTGATTTAACTTGTTTGAGCCATTTGTGTGATTATCTGGTATAGTTTAGAATGGCTGTTTAGAGTGTGGTTTAAAATTTGTTGATGAATGTAAATTTGTTCTCAAGTATTTAAAGTCTTGAAAGTTGAAGCTAAGGAAATTTCATTGTAAACTAATTTGAATATTTCATAACACATTTTGTGATCCTCACAGCATGTACCATTTGCTGAAATGAAGTAAAATTGAGCTAACTGTTCAATTTCTATGGATTCAAGAGGATTAGCATTGGGTCAAAGCTTATGTAGAATCTTATTCACTTTTTTAAGCTAAGGATTGTGTTAAATATCCTCAAAAAATCCTCAGGGTTTAAACTTTAAAGGCTTTGTGTTGGAACCGCCCAGTTATGGCTTAAATCTCTTCTACAGCTCCAATTGTTATCCCTTATTTGAACTCAAGTAGCTGGAAACACTACATTTTTAAACCTTTATTATTATGAATTCACTTTAGAGTTACAAAACAGTTTTTAAAATATTATGAGAGTTCTAATATATCTTTCATCCAGTTCTATTAATGTTAACATGTTACATGATGATAATGCCATTATTAGGGAATTAATAACTAATTTATAGATCTTATTTCAGTTTTACCAGCGTCCTGCTGATGTCCTCTTTTCCGGTCCAGAACCTGTTCCTCAATTCATTACTGCAGTTGCGGTCATGCCTCCTCAGATTCTTCACTCTCTAGCAATTCCAGTCTTTCTGTGTCTTATCACAGACGACTTTGACACTTCCAAAGACAACCAGCCAATTTGTTTCACTTTGCTTTGTTTCTCGGATATCCTTGAGTTTGTAATTAACACATGTTTTCTATTAATCAAACTGAAGCTACAAATTT